TTTAGCACGCTCTGCCTTTTCTTCGACGTTGTTTAAATTATTTAAGAGTGCTATGAAGTGCTCCTTTATCCTCAAGTTGGTCTTTGTGAATTCTGTTTTAGCAGTAAAGTTAGAAATATTTTCATTGTCTAACTTATTAGAAAGAAAAATCCAGTCCAACATTACCTCTCACATACAAACAAGGTATCTGGAAGATGAGAACCCATAATACAAATTTAGAATTTGACTCATCAAAATCTGAATCACTCTATTATATAATCTGTACTGCATTGGCAGAGGTGCCTGACTGTCTTTTATATTTTAAAAAAAAAAAGCTAATGGTAAACCATTTACACCTCTCTAATACATTTTAGTCTACACTTATGCTGTGATGCACTGTGTGATAATTGAAAGTAAAAAGTTCAGTGTACAGCCTCCCCTGCTGTCTGAATTACAGTTTTTGCTGTTTGTAGGAGTTGGTTCATACTCCTGACTGTTGTCTTCTGAGATTTAATAGAAACCTTGCTGTTTTCTTAACACTATGAGTTTTTTAATAGTTGGGTCCTGGTATGAAAACTTAACTATAAAGCATGGCCATTGGTTAAGGATTGAAAATAATATATTTGCAGTATTTTCAAGTGAATGAGTTTGAAGCGATAGTTTATAAACAAGATTTGCTGTTTCTGGGTTATTCTTCTAGATTAAAAATCTCCTTTCAAATAGGATTGGCTTGTTGAAAATGTTATCCCTGCATGCACTTACTAGTATGATTTGCAGTACCATAAACTGCCTCCATATGTAACTTGAGAATCTGCACCAGAATGTTTTCCCAGATTCCTTTTAATGAGTATAACGTTGAATTACAGTAGTAAACAGCCACGTGGTAACTGAAGAAAATATTTATAGGAAGCAGAAATATCTGAAATGTTCTGCAAACGGAGGCTTAAGTGAGGAAAGGCTGTATGTCTTCGTTTCTCTCTGTCGCTAGGTCCAAATAATGAGAATTATGTGTATGAGGGGACTGGAACAAGCTGCTTTCCATATCTGTTAATGAAGCTGTTCTGTTCAGAAATCACGGAACGCTTCATATGAATGTTTTCCAAACAGAATGTTTCTTTTTGGTTTGGGGGTTTTCTCTAAAATGGATCTAAATTGGATCTAAATTTTTTTCTGAAATTGATCTAAGTTGAAAGAAGCGGATTGAATAAGCCTAGAGTGGAGCAAATGTTTTATTTTGGCTCATGTAAAGAGTTCCACATTTTCCTCAAAGTAGGTGTTTCATTCTTTTACGTCAACACAAAGCATGTAAAATGTTCTTCAGTTTTATGCCAGCTGATTTTTTTCTAAATTTGTTTGTTTGTTTAGAAAGACAACCTAAAAGTTGTGTTATTCGTACAATTCTAGTTAGTAATTCTTGCAGACATGCACGCACTGCCCTGAGTCCGTTAGGCGTGAGCCAAATACGTGGTGTTAAGAGTTTGTAGAGAAATTGCTGCTTTGGAGCTTGTTGTCCTGCTGCCCATAGAGCATTTTCTCAAAACCTTGCATCTTTCTCCCGTTTCATTCTGCATGGCTGATAGGGGAGGTTGGAATAAAATGTCACCTAATCGACTAAAAGATCCAAAAATAAAAAAAATAGATATAGTATGAGCGAGAAAAGCCATTTATGACTCTCTGTAGCCTAGAAAACTGCTTTGCATGTGACGTTTGTATCTCCTGGTTAGCGAATGCTTCCGCTGCTGTCTTGCCAGTAGTCTCAGACTGCCTGTGTGTCCAGCACGGTGTACGTTTGTGGTGCTCTTGGGACGGAGAATACGTTTCTCAGTAGTCTCAGACTGCCTGTGTGTCCAGCACGGTGTACGTTTGTGGTGCTCTTGGGACGGAGAATACGTTTCTCACTGCAAGTTATTCAGATCTGCTGCTGGGATTTTGCACCCTTGCTACTGCTGGGAAACCCACCGTCTCCTAGCCCTGAGAGCCTGGAGAGACGAAGAAAACCAGGTGCAAGTCACTCGAGCAGAAATAACTCCATTAGCAGCATCTCTTAAGAGTTTATAAGAGACTCATTGTGCTGACAGGTAAACTGCAAAAAAAGACGAAAATTGAATCTGGCTGGAAAATGGAAGACGACTGCCTTCCTTTTGCTTGGTTTCCGTGCATACAGTATGAGTGCCCAGTGCCAGTTGCCAGGCATGTAAGCTGTAGACCCGGGTTAAAAAAGGAGGAGGAGTCTGTTAGAGAAAGGAACTGCAAGGTAGTTAATTGTTGTTTTTATGGCTATTTCTTTTCTAAACAAATTTTCAGGCTGAATTATTTCTATGAATTTTCACCTTTTTTTTTTACATAAATGAGATAACCAGGTCAGCTTGGTTCCCACATATCTAATAGCTTCTTTACAAGGAAAAATTAATCAGAATAGCTACTGTGCAATAAATGACTCTGAAACAGCTTCCCCATGGATGCTGTTGTTCTGGAGTAAGAATGCCTTTTCCTGATTAATACTTCTTCCGCCAGACCACCGTTTTTCAAATTTCCCAGGTAGGCAGCAGTCGGCTTGTAGAAGCCAGTATCTTCCAGAGAGTACCTTGACTTCTTGAGCAAGACTTGTCACTGCCACAGGCACCCCACCAGCAGCAATCTGCCCGGGGTAGCTGTGCCTCACTGCAGAAGGACCCGTTGCAGGCACCTGCACCAGTAAAAAGCAAGAGCGAGAGATTTCTGTTTCTTTATTGCCTTTTTAGTCTAAAAGAATTCTTTAATATTTGCAGTCTTGGAGAATTTAGTAGTAATTTAATGCTTTTCAGTACTCTTATTAAGACTATAGAGAGTTTTGTTCCTTGGACACAAAAGAGGAAACAATAAGAGGGTATTTTCTTTGCTTGCAGTTCCAAGCCTGCTGTTCAGGTTTCAACCCAAAAAGCTTTTTTCTTTTTTTTTTTCATCAGAACACAATGAAAACCCCTTTGGTTCGTATAGTTATCTCCTCCATCAGCTTGCCATGTGGCTTTGCTTAGACTGCAGGCCCCTTACTGTTTCAGCGTACTGATTTTCTGGAGAATTTCAATAGCTTTTTAGGTTTTCCCAATTAAGAAGTCACTACTACGCTCTAAGTCAGTAAAGTCAGCATCACCCTGTGGAGCCTTTCTCCCACTGCTAGAAAATGCCTGTTGTCTCCAGGCCTGGGGGAGTGTAGAAGGAAGGTAAAACTGCTTTGAAACACGCATGTGCTGACCTGTAGCTGTGCCCAACTTTGCTGAATCTGAGGATCTCTGGTTGTCGTCGCTGCCTGTTTACAGTTGCCCTTGGTTCATTGTCACAAAAACAGGGCTGCTCTGTTTGATTTCCCAGCTGCGGGAGGAGAGAGTTGTTGTTAATATTTTTTGCTTAGGCAAACAATTACCTCGCTCAAGGTCAGCCAAGGATTTTCAGATTCCAGGAAAGTTCATTTCAGGATGCTTGTTTGTTCTGCGGAAGGGCTTTTGCTTTCCTCTTTAAGCGAATGTTTTGTACTGTTACTTAGTATTTGCAGAGTGCTGTGCGCTCTCCTGAGGAGAGAGGAGAGACGTTCTGGTCTGAGGGTTGGTCTTGCAGCCCTTGAAGTCAATGACAAAACTGCAGCGCTGCCCTGGAGTCTGCCCTGAGACTTGATGGAGTCTGCCCTGAGGACATACGGTTTTATAGGAACCAAAGTGTTGGTAGGAGCAGAGCATAAGAAAGTCAAAGCGTAAAGTGAAAATGTCTGATGGTATGTTGATACTACAGCGTTGCCGTTTTAACACAAGGGAAATCCACCCAGGGGAACGGTGACTTAGCATTTACACAGCCTGACCTTGTTAAAAGTACAAAGAAAAGATGTTTTTTCTTGAAGGAGAAGATACCTAATCTCGCTGTATTTGCATTAGTGTTGTTGTCAATCTAAGCAAGTGAGCAACTGGTAAGTCATGAAATGAATGTTGCCTCTAAGAAGATAGTTGGACATTTTTACCATACAGTATTAACTCTGACTGTTTCTGGTTGAGTGTATAATTTAGGCAATTTAGATGTCTAAGGTGCTAGTAGTTAGAAGCAGTTAAATGCTGATAGCCAAATTTTAAGTTATATTTAGGTGCTTAATGTAGACTACTTTCAGTGCTACACTTTTAATCACAAGCTTTAGACATTTAAGTAATTCAGTTTCACCCACAAATATAGTAGCAATTCTTTACATGAAGAAATGTAGATTTAAAAAAAAAAAATTATTTCTCCAATTTTTCCTGCTTGAAAGTAGAGGGAAGAGGAGTAGTTTTATCTCCACTTTCCAAATGTGCTTCCTTGAGAGCAAGCATCCATGGAGAGGATACTATCTGTCAGGTTACTGGGTCAGCGCCTGCATGGTGGTGTGTATTCCTATAGCGCCAACTACAAAAGGAGCATAGTCATGATTCTGCTTTTTGTGGATCACTCTAATACAGCAACAAATAAATGAAAAACAGACGTCCTAAAGCACAAATAAAAGTGTTGTGGGCTTAAAATGCAAGTCGGAAAACTGTAACAGAAACCTTTTTTTACTACTGCAGTGAAGACGCTTATGAAAGTTAAATAACATTTTAGATTTCAGATTATTGCATACTCATTAGCAAACGTATATCCTTGACAGTTGGGGGCAGACAGTAGTGACAGGAAAGGACCATTAGGGCAATCACCTACACAGTAACAAGTATTGTGTGGTGATTTTCTTTTTCTGCCTGTTCTACGATGAAGACAGTCACACTCTCCTTATTCACTGAGTTTGTAGGTTCTATTTTCTCACTGTTGCGTGGGGACTCTCTGAGGTAATACAGTGTTGATGACTAGAGAGAAATACCCACCCTGAATTAAGCACGTATATAAATGCTTTATTAAATTTGAATTTATGTGTCATCGTAATCAGCATGCCTTCCAATTGATTAAATGCCTGCTCTCCTGTGCTTTCTAGTAGTAAGCATTTTACTTTATTCTCGAAATACTCAATTTCCTGAACTTTCTATTTTCTCCATGTTTAGATGGCTTGACAGACTGCGTAGACCCTGACTGTTGTCAGCAAAGCAATTGTTATGCAAGTCCTCTCTGCCAAGGTTCACCTGATCCCCTTGACCTTATTCAACACAGCCAACCGCCTTTCTCGCAGCATCCTCCAAGGCTCTTCTATGATCGAATCAGATTCCTGATTGGGAAGGAAAGCACTCATGTAATCCCAGGAGATGTCTCATTTGAGAGCAGGTAAGTTTTCTCGTACATGAAAGACGCTTCTGAATATTGAGAGCAGCAATGAAATTGCTTAACCAGGAAAAACCACTGATACGTCAATAGTTGAGAGTTCATCACTGATGGTCAAAAAATATTTGGATAGCAAACTTCCAGGTCACAGCAGCTCAGAATCTTTTTTGTCAGACTCTCTTTATTACTCTGCCTAGTTCATAAAAGTGTCACTGTAATAAACAGGACTACTTTTATTAAGAAGCCTGACAACTGTGGAAGGTAAACTACCTTGTACTTCACAAGTAAGTGGGGGGAAGTTCAGCGCTTTCTGCTGTAGATGCATCTGGTGGCAGATGGCAGAAGGATGAATTGGATTCATATGAGCTGTTGGATTCAGTCACTTGGCTTTCTGCCCAGTGGTGTGTGTCTGGTATTTACATTTAATAGATTTAACACATGTTTCTTTTTTATAATGTAACTACTTGATTAACAAACTTTTTTAGTATACCTTGATAGAACATTTTGGAGTTTACCATTTTGTGCTGCAGGTTACTCTTAAGTTGCCATGCAAATAGTGCAGTGTGATCTCTGAGTGTTTGTGAGATTGGCACGTCCTTTAACAGGAAGAGACTGTGCAGTAGGAAGGGGCACACACTTGCTCAGAAAGCCTAGTAACACAGACTTTCTTGAACATTTGAAATATAGGGGCACATAAGTTTTTATGCTGTAGTTCACCTGGGAAGCTATAACTTACAGGCTGACAAAGAGATCCACAAATCATCCACATAATCTCACTATTGCCCTGTCGACTAGGCCTGTACATTAGATAAACCATGTTCCCGTAATGAGGACATAAGAATTTTTTATTTTCGCAGCAGAGTAAGTAGCGCTTGGATTACAGCCTTGCCTTCGTTCTGTAGCTGCACACAAATTCCAGCGCACGCTTTCATTGTAACTTATTAATTTTTAATAAATATGTAAACTGGGTCTTTATCGATCTGAAATACCTAAACATTTAATCACTATTAATAATGTAACAGGATGTTATAAATATATAGAACTATAGTGTACAGAAATGAACTGCATGAAAAGCCTCCACCTGACGATGCCAGGACTCTCGGAGTGTATATCACTAATGGAAGAGTGCTGCTGCGCCTCATACGGCATCTTTGGCGAGCTGTACATGTAGCCTAGCATGCTGCAGTCTAACACAGAAGTCACCAATGAAAGACGTTCCCCATGCCTCGTGGGAAGGTGTTTTCAGAGAGAAGATGAGCACTCAAGTCACCTGTACAGTGCTCTGTGACATGGCAAATGTTAGCAGCCAGATTGCACATAATCCCATCAGTGTGTTTTTATAGATATAAGTACCTGATCTTTTAAAGCTGTCGTTGATGGGATTTCACTTAGATTTAAAAGACTTTTCTGAGTATTTCATTTTTTTACCCTGATATCTGGCATGCCTTTGGAGAATGAAAAATAATGAAGGTCTGTTGATGATCTGTCCTTAGAAACTGCTGTAACTGCCGGGGTGGGGAGGGCTCTAGCAAACAGAAATACATGGCCAGCAGCCCACCCTAGCCATGGTTTGATACTTCAGACTTCATAATAAGGAATAGGACTTGCAGTTGGATTCCTGCATTGTTCACACCCCAGATATCATTTCCTCCCACTGTAAAGAAATTACTAGTTAGTTTACTGAGATCATTGGGATTCAGATGATGCTGTCTGTATGTGTAGAATCAGGGCAGTGCCTTGAGAGATGGAGGCTGTGTTGTGTCTCCTAGGCTTTGTCAACAGTAATCTGCGATGTCCGAGGCACCCTAAGGACTTTGTTGGTCCACACTTTCCTTGATCTTCAAGTCTTCAAGGCCGTTGAAAAATTGTTCGTCCATAAGTCAAATATTATTAAAAAGTGTCAGAATTTTCCTTAAGGATCACAGATAAGCAGTGTCTCAGAAGGAAGCAATGGCTTAGCTGTGCTGCCTCTGTTCAGAAATCTTCCCTGACGTTGTCAGTCAGGCTGTCATCTAGTGTCTGTTCTGCTCCTGGGAATTAAGATTAATGAAAAGAAGGTAGCAAGACAACTCTAACTACTGTAAATACCTCAGACTTGTGTGAACCCGCCTCTCTGGTACTCTGACCAAAGAGCGTTTCAGTTTTTATCTCCTTCTGGCTAGTGCTGAAGAGTTTATATCCATGCAGATGTTGTTAACTGTTTTGGTTGCCTGCCACTTATTTTATTGCATAGGTGGTTCATCAAGAAACGTTGGAAGGACTGGACAAAACAGCTCAATTCATTTATTTCAGAGCATTGGTATCCATTCCCACTTGTTCTCAAATGTAGACTTTTGCAAAACCCTTGTTTTTTAACTTCGGTATTTTTTAATTTTGCAGTAGGTCTCTGAGACCATTTGGAGGGCTAATGAAGAAACATTTTTGACACTATCTGATGTTTTCAGTCTTCTGATTCAAATAGCATTGTGCAGTGTTTTACCGTGGCATTTCAGTGGGACTCCATTACGGGTGATGTTTGCATCAATCTGCTTCTAGATAAAGCCAAAGTGATGTCGAGTAGATGTGAGAATGCTATCAAAAAGAAGGTGAAGATTATCTCTGTCCTTCAGACTGTGAAAGTGTTTGATCTCTGACACATGCTGGCATTTTTAGCATCCTCTGAGATACCACAATTATTTGTTCGAACAACTGCTGGGACATCTTTCTTTTTGTGTTTACATCTTGACTTCACCTTAGATCTTGCATCTATTTCAGCTTTCAAATATTTGGCCTCTACAACACAGTCAAGGCCAGGGAGTGAGCCATGGCCAAATACTGCACCCAAATTAATGTTAAGGAGCTGAACGTTTTAGAAGTATATTTTTTTCTCATATGTCATTTGTACTGGCTGTGTACAAAATCCCAACTTTAACTATGTCATGCTTAAAGGCGGATTAGACAGACTGTGAGTAAAAGGAAGTGTACTTGCTTACATCAGGCTATTTTGACCCATTGCATGTAGTAGAGTGCAGCAGATTAAAATGTTTTAGCAACTTCTGTTCTCAGTAAGGCTTTTAGCTTGTTTCTTTGCCGAATATTTTTAATGCACGCTACTGGCAAGCTATTTGACTCGCTGCAAATTGCCTGCAAAAGAGAGTCCAGTGCATGGTACTGAATTAATTACCCTTCAAAGAATGCTTACAGCAACTTTGTCAGCAGGAAGAAATGAATGTACCTTACTAGCCTTTAGCTTAATTTCTCTGATTGAAGATTTTAATCAGAAATGTAATACAGTAAATGACATGTGGTAATGTGACACTTGCAAATTCACAAGTTTCCTTGACAGGGTTCCATGTCTGAGCCTAATGCCTCAGCCTGCGGTGCTCAGAGAGTATTGGAAACTTATCACAAAAACCAAAAGTGAAAGACTAATAAATAAGTAGTAGTAGTAGAGCAAGGCAGAATGGTGGTAGAATAATAAAATGCTTTAGAAGTAGCAAAATAATGCATCTAGAATTTTCAACTCCTATTTATATTTTAAATTAGAGTTGTCAAACAAACTGCCTGATGGCAGAGATCTGAGATCCTCAAAACTGAGATCCTCTGCTGCATGTGGAATGATCCTTGAGGCATTTACAAAGAAGTCCTACTTCTTTAATGCCCCCTGCAACCCAAGGGAATCTCTGCTTTCTCTCCAAAAGCGACTGCTCCCTCTGGAGTTGCAGATTTGCTACAGCCTGCCAGGGGACCAGAAACATTTTTAATGCATTTGCAAAGACTGAGGCAGCTTATCAGGGACACATCCCTCCCCAGATACAAGACAGAAAATAGAAGCCAGGCTTTCCAGCTCCTCCAAATTAGGAAAGACATTTTTGCACTTACACAACTTGGGCATTGTAAAGCCTTCGTCCGAGATTGTACAATCTTTGCAAATAAAGTGACTGTGTTACTTTCCACATGAGAAATAAAAGCAGGCCAGTCACAAGTGTGTAGAATAAACCGTAGAGGCTGAGAATGGAAGAGGGAAATACAGCACATTGAGGAGGCCTGATGGGCTTTAGAAGTTGCTCTGTTAAAATTAAGAAAAGCAATGAACAGTAGCAAAGTCTAAGGCCAACTCTGCCAGAAAGAGAGTGAACGCTGAAGCCAAAAAGGCATGAAAAGGTAGTTGCGCCGCAAGTGTCGTCGCTGCAGGAAACGTGTTCTGAAAGCTCCGACAAGGGGAGGAACAAAGTGGGGTCTCCTGCAACAGCAAAGGTGCTGGGAACCTGCAAGCAAGCCAGGCACCGTCTGGAGCACTGTCGTCCCCTTCGGGAGACGGCAAGGCGTTAGGGAGGAGAGGGAACCTGCTGCAGAGCTGCGTGGGGTGTTTGTTTCTTCCCAGAGCTCCTGCAGAGTAGTGCTGGTCAGAAAGTAACTGAAAAATATTTTAACGCCTGTGGTAAATGCAAAAATTAAAACCAGTTAGGCTCAAATACTGTTAATCGAAGATTTAGTAGGTGCTGGTGATTCAAGAAGAGGCCAAAGAGGAAAAGACTCTTCCACTTGGAGTAGGATAATAAAAAGACAGAAAATAATGAGGAGGAATGTAGCAACACATAGACGGCCTTAGAACATATAAAATCTAAAAGATTGCAAGGACAGTTCAATACAGATAAATGTAGAATAAAGAGGTTTGTGAGTCTTGATCACATAGTGTAAATATGTGTGGCTCGTAAAACACGAGGAATAAAAAAGGAGTAAGAAAGTTGAAAGATAAGCCTGTGAATATTATTTATGAATAATGAGAAGCAAAGTAGAGGAAAGAAAGGCAATGTGTGAAATAATGAAGACTTTGAGTTGTTTTCACACAAATCTGTGTGCTTGATAAAATACGAGGGAGGAGTGGAGTCAGAAGACAAGTCTTTGCAGAATGAGAAACAGTGAATGAACGAACAGAGGAATCCTAGAATAATGTACAGAATAATGATGACTCTTAAGGGGCTCTCTCCCTCAAACCACTGTGCCACCATGGTAAAGGTATGGAATGCACAAATAAAGGGATTAGAAAGGGAAAGGCAGGTCTGTAGATGTCAGAAAATGTGAGAAAACGATAGAAACTTGTAGTTTCTGGTCTAACAAATCAAAAAGTGATTGAACCTGGCGTAGTCTGTTGAGACATACGAGAGCTTGATTGCCTTCCGTGGAGCAGCTGGTTTTGCCCACAAATAGGGCCACAACCAACTTAGCTAATGTAGAAAACTAAAAGGTGGTAAATTAGAGCTCTGTTCTGCGTACTGAAAGTAATACAGCTTACTTTTCATATTCGTCTGGCATTTTTCAACAACTTTGCTATCGTTCTGCGTGCCAATAGCATGGAATTCGTATTAGCCAGTGTGGTGAAAGGCATACTCCCAATGGGTTAGTTTTTACCAGTCGCATTTTCTCAGGGTGCGGCCAGCTGGGTTTAATGATATCATAGGTATAAATTAATGCCGTGTTGAGTGGCTTTTGGAGAATGGAATCTTAGGAAACTAGTCAGAATTTTCGGAAATGTGTAGTCCAGCTTGCACATACGATTTCATTGCATCAAAATCAATTAACCTCTCAGGGGATCTTTTTTAGATTTACATAGTCTTTCGCATAACTTTCATTTAAAGAGCTATTGAGTTTTTCCTTTAGTATTCAAATGCACTGTGCAAAGGTAGGATGCATCTGTTGAGTAAAGTACAGGCTTGTAACTTGAGAGAGAAACATAGCAGTGTCTTAATTTATATTTATTGTTTATATTGAGTAATTAATACTGGAAGCATTTATAGGTATTCTGGTGTTCTGACCCTGCATTGTCTTTGTCTACATGTAAACTATTATAAAAAGACTTCTGGATACACTGTTCACTCTGCTATTTGAAACCACATTTCCAGGAAATACGTGCAACTGTATCATTAGATACCCAAGACGTGGCTCCTTTGAGCCAGTGGAAGTATAGTAGTGTAGACCTGAGGGTGTGGGGCAAAATATGAAAGATGTTTCAGTGGAATTTAGCTGCGTAAGCCCTTAGAAAATCCCATGAGGTCTTAATCTGCACTGTGAGAGTATTTTGCATCTTATTCCTCATCTTTGATGTGACTTGTTTCCTTTATGTTTCAGGTTATGAGTCTTCAAAGACATAAAAGGATAAAGCTAAGAAAAAGAGTAATTTGTTCACCATGTCCATGGCCAGGGTGGAAGTACTGGTTTTAAAGGGCAGCAGTAGAGATTCAAATTAGACAGTAGGAAAAACTTGCCATGAGTAAAGCACTCATACAGGAGCATTGCAGTAGGTTACATGGTGAGCTTATAGAGTTAGACAAGCATCTGTCTGGAATAATGTGGGTGTAGTTGATCTTACTTGAGGCAAAGATATGGACAAGATAAAGTCTTGTATTTCCTTTCAGCTCTCATTTTCTATGATTCGTGATTCTGTTAGCCTCCGATTAGACCCACTTAGTTATGAGTTCGCTTTCAAGTCCAGTGAGTTTGATGTGTTCTTCTGTTCTGCCGTATTCTAACCTCTTTACATTTACTGAGAAGGGAGGATTTTTATGCTGGTAAATGGATGCAAGTCTAACACATCCTAGAGGGAATGCAAAAAGGCATAACGTGTGATGAGGGAGTGAAAAAATGTATGTTACACCTGGTTAGGCTCTCTCTGGATGTGCCCACATAACTCTCTGAAGTTCATTGAAGACCATGTGTCTCCCTGCTGCCTTATCACATTGGTTCAACTTTTCTCTAACAGACAGTGATACCCCATTCTTAGCACCAAAGAATTGAGTTTGGTTCTCCCCTTTCACAAATTGTCACCACTAGAGCTGCAGCAAGCTAAATCATACTGTCATGAAACCTTTGCAACACTATTCAATGGCAGAAGAAATAGTATACTGAAATACAGCTGGAAATGGGAAAGTATTCATGATACACCAAGAATTCATAGCGGAGTCATTCATAGCAGAGTCTATATATTTTCTCATGAGATACTGTTTTTTCAAGTCAATCTTTTGGGCTTCTTTGAATTTTCATTCAAAATCAACAGTCATGATGATTTCACAGTAGTTTTGCCTGTGTTCGGGACAGAAGTACAGCAGAGTTTCTGAAATAACGCTATTCTCACCGTTCCTATATATCTAACACTGTTAGCTTTGCCTGTTTTCATTACAGACGTGCCTGTGTCATTCGAGGCCAGGTGGTTGCAGTAGATGGGACACCTTTGGTTGGAGTGAACGTCAGTTTTCTACACCACAATGAGTACGGATACACCATCAGTCGACAAGATGGAAGGTGAGACTTTTATGTATGGCCTCTCACTGAGTTAGATTTTTAAAGCTGAGGCCATCTACTGCCTTCTGTTCCTGTGCAAAATTCTCAGAGACATCCCTGTTCGTAATGTGGACTGAGGATAGCATCTGGTCCTCTGTTCTGGGAGCACGTCTCATTAGAGCTCTCTGTGGTAAAGAGACCAAAGAAGAACAAAAAAACAATAGCAACAAGAAAATTACACTGACATTCAAACACCTGGAGTCAAAGTGTGACAGTACTGCTGTCATAGCACTTCCAGTGAGTCTGTATTCTGAGATGGTGTGGCTTGGCATATTACTAACCTCCATGACACTGGAATATTTTCAGTAGTCAGGTTTTCCATTGAATTCCCTGTCTTCCCTCTTTTTTTCTTTATTTAAGCGTGAATCTTCAAGTAGTTTATTGAGGATTCAGTAAACTCCTTGAGCTCCTAAAACCTGAGCCACACAAGTAAAAATAAAGATAGATTCTTACCAGAGGCAGATGGTAAACTGCTGTTCTGCAGCCAAACCTGAGCAATCCTGGCTTCCCCCTTTCTCCAGCCTTGTAGGGCTGAGTTCATTTCCAGAAAAGAGACCATTTCTCATATGTTGTCCGTTGTACTCCAGGGCTGGCCATCTATTTTGCGAAAGAGTCGTGATTTGCCCCTGAACTTTGGTCGCATACTAAAAGAGCTGCTAAGGGCTCTTAAAGACTTCATCTTCCTTGACTGTGTCGTGAATGACAAGCAATTAGAAGGTTTCTTCTAACAGGGAAAGAAATAGTTTGTTGCTGTTTCCACAATCTGGGGGGGGCATTGTCAGTTTATAAAAGTAAAGAACATGCATATTTATTTTCTCTTATTTTCTCAACTTTAAAATCACACTAGTGAAAATTAGTAATTATCTTTTGCTATTTACACTAGCCTGGATAATGTTGTTGCATAAAAATATGCTACCTGTATTTTGCTGTGAATGTAATCGGTGTCATTTGGGCAATGTGATGAGAGATGCATAATTAAGTCTGACTTCTTATCACAGTTTGTTATCATCAAGAGCCTCCATAATAGATGCATTCAATAATACAGAGGGTGAAGTGTCAATTTACATATTACCTTATGGTACCTGACTATATGTCAGAAACTCAGAGAACTGAGACCGTGTATAGCTTGCCTTCTGTGTCCCACTGCTTTGCAGCCTGCGTATGCCAAGGGTTCCTCACAATAGCTCCCAGAGGAGCACCTGCCATACGTACAAGAGCTGGTTCGGTTCTCAGTGCAGTTAATCCACTTCTTTCCCAAAATCTTTGTATCCTAAACAGAGCGGCCTCCTGCTCAGTGTACTCAACCTTTTCCTCCTGCTACTTTCAGAAAAAAGAAAAAGGACATGTTAATAAAGAAAAGGCCTGTCAGCCTTAAAAGTGCTTTATTCTGCATGCTGTGCCTGCATAGATTATGAGTAGCATCCCTTTTGTGGGTTGGGAATTTCTTTTCACATGGACCAAAGTAATTGGATCCCCACCCTTGTTTTAGATTACTTGTTACTGGTGATTCTAGATGATAAACGGGGAGAGTGGACAGATAACGGTGAAGTACCATACCTGGCTAATGATACATATAATGGGAAAGCAGAGGAAGATCAACCTTCTGCCTGAATGTCAAAGCGGCATTGGAAAAATATACTAGAATGATTTCAGATAGCAAATTAAAGGTTGTAATGAACAATATAAAGAGGTTTTTTGTGATGCAGTATGACGATGAAAACAAAATGAAACAAAGCATTTTGTTTTGTCTTTTTCAGTTTTGACCTTGTGGCTGTTGGAGGCATCTCTGTCACTCTAGTTTTTGACAGATCTCCTTTCATATCTGAAAAAAGGACACTTTGGTTACCTTGGAATAGATTTATCATTGTAGACAAAGTTGTAATGCAAAGAACAGAGTCAGAAATACCATCTTGTGACATCAGTAGTTTTATTAGCCCAAATCCCATCGTACTCCCTTCACCCTTGACAGCATTTGGAGGGTCCTGTCCAGAAAGAGGAACCGTTATTCCAGAGCTACAGGTAATAAAAATACTTTCAAATTAACAGATTGTTCAATTGCAGAAAAATTTCTAGGCAATTCTAAATGGAACTGACATAATTGTTTGGTGATATTGATAATTTGACGCTGAATGTTGAGCAGATCTAACCTTTATCATTAAATTTGCATGCACAGTTACTCATATCAGTGTAAAATTCATAAAATTTTATCAGACTTTTCTGTCCAAATCGTATATATTCCTAATGCGCATGCATAAATACTAAAGCACATAGATGATATTAAACTTGCATGGTTTTTAAAAACCTGGATTTCACTGAAATCGGTGATTGAACTTTCCATTTAAAAGTTACAGTTTCAGGCTTTCAGACTAATTTGGAGCGATGGTCTATGGTAGGTATTCACTGGACATATGACACTGCCTTAATGTCTTCCCTTGTTCCTAGAAAGTTCTGAAAGTACTACTGTGAAAGGGACGCTACCAAATAATGACCATTTAACTGCTGTGATGTTATACACTTGTCAGAATGACATCAGTGCAGGCCTTTTTAGTACTGCTGAGCAAAGCGCTTTCCTCTTTTTTTTTTTTTTAAAGGTGTTTATTTCTTCCCACCAAGTAGAAGGAGAAGGTGGGGAGTGCTACTATGATTTATTATTGAAAGCCTGATTTATTTATAACGATGCCCGAAACCATTCCTAGGTTACAGACAAACAGTACAGCTTCAGCATACATCAGTGTGAGACATTACCCAGCATGCTGTGAAGATTCCCAGGGATTTGTCCTCCCTTCATATCTTCTAGTTCTTTATGATGGCATCTTCAGCTCTATGTTACTCCTAGGGTTTTTTTGTGTTTTTTTTTTACTTTCTTTCCAAGGTAGAACAATATTAACATGCTATTTCCAATTAGTTATATTTAAATGTCTTTTTTCTCGAGTGTTCCTTCAATATGTGTTTAGACTCACTTTCTAATTAACCGTGTGCTTAACTCTTCTGTTCTTTGGGAGTTAAAAGAGGTGGTGTGAGTTGCACATCCAGCAAAATGCAACTGCATAGATTTTAGATCGTGTTAACCCCCGTGAAGTTTCATATGTTGTTTGAGCAAATAAAGTTTAAGCAAAAACCCTGCAGTAAGACCTCTTTTGGGTTCTCTTTCAATTTCACTGAGGAAGCATGGAAGATATTTTGGTGGCTGCCTGTAAATATGAATATTTCCATCCTTTTTTCCTTTAAAAGGGTTGCTGCTGACAAAGGGCCCTTATCCTATATGTAGGAGCCCTCTGATTGAACTCAGCCGTATTTAAACATCTGTGTAACTATGAACACGTTATCTTGTTTCAGTAAGCTGATGGCCACAGCGTTGCTTCGTAGAACATAATAGGTGAAACTAATGAACATAGATTAAGAATAACTGATGCACACTAGTAAGAAAAAACTAGGTCACATTATTCCACATGAAGTATTCCTAGGTCTGTTTTAAGCAGTGAGGTACCTAAAGATGCAGTCTGCTCGTAAGAGAAACTGCTCCCAGTCTCTTTGCTGGCAATGAAGGGTCCTTAGAGTGTGGATTTTTATTGTACAGAACTGGGAGATGAATAAAAAGTAGCCCAGAATAGTAAAAGAGAGATGTATCAAAATGTATTAGCACATGTATATTTCTTCCTGTTTTTCTATTAAAAAATAAGAAGCGATGTCAGATGTATGACAGAGGGGGCAGCTGGGATGTCAGCGGGAAAGAGGGGACCGCTGCAAATCAGGAACAGTAAAGGGAGCAGGAATTCCCTGGCAACACTGCATTTCATATGTTGAAACGACAAGTGCTGGCAGGCCTCCAGCAGTACTGCAGCAATCCTATGACAGTGATACTGTAGCAATATGTAAATAAAAGGGATTTGAAATAATTTATTGTTAAAGAAACAACAAAAAAAGAAAAACTGGGGAATATAAACGAAACGCAGTTAATATTTTTCCAGGCTGTGCTAATTTAACATTATGACAGATTGGCTTGTTATTACTGCAGCGTACTAAAATCATTAACCTTCCTGGGGGTTAACGTAACCGGAGCGCAGACCAGTTTCCAGTGGCTCGTGAGTGCCTGATGGACTCGTCCAAGAAGTTGCTCCCAGAAGAGCGCTTTCTCTCAAGCGATCACAAGAGCTAGATCCCTCTCAGTAGCTCCAAGGCCCCCGTCGTTCAAAAGGTCAAGGCCAAGTTTCCTCTCTCTCCCACACGAGCTTGCAGCCTCCCCAGGCTCTCTCATTGCTGAGGGCATATCTTCACTGCGGCCAGGAACTGATACTGCGCCACAGCGGGCATATCCAAGCCAGCTTTAATCCAACTGATGCAGACAGCAGCATTGACAACAGTGCAACGGGATTTGAACTCTGCAGCACGCCCTGGAGACTTTATTTGTTAGCTAGATGAGCCTGACACCCAAGCGGTTTCTCTTCAGAGCTTCGTGTGCCCAGTTAGCTTGTTGCGCCATGCTTTCTTATGCTGTGCCTTCTTGTGTCGTGCCCCTTCGTACCGCAGCCTAGCTTCACTGCAAGCAGTTCTGTGCGGCGGCTGGTTTATCAGCAACATTTGTTTGCTTTCTTAGCTCTCCCATAGTCACGGCAGGTTTATTTTACCTCCAAAGCGGGACAGTGTCTTCAAATCATTGTGTAATATATCATAGGCGTGCATCTTTTTAAAAAAGTTCGTTTAATTATATTCGGATTAAAACACTCAATAAGTAAACCAAATAATAAAGCCAGACTGCAGCTGTTATGCTCACACATATGAATATGATGAGAGAGATTATATTTGCCCCTCTGGGGATAAATAGTGAAGAATTAGAGGAAGGGGATCTTTAGGAAAGATCCAACAAGATGAGAAAGCAGTTTTTGGTGTTGGAGATTTTGCATTTTGCCAGGCTACTGCAGTGCTAAAATACACTCAGAGAAGAGCAGTGTTTTAAGTGATACTGTGTTCAGATCGTGACTGTGAAATGTAAAGTAAGCATCTGTTATTATTGGAAATAATCATAATTTTGCACTTTTCTTGGCCATAGATATAATCATGTGATTGATTGTTTTTTATCCAAGGTGGTCCAGGAGGAAATCCCAATTCCTTCCAGCTTTGTGAAGCTTAGTTATCTCAGCAGTCGAACACCAGGGTATAAAACTTTGCTGCGCATTATTCTGACACACACGACCATCCCTTCTGGAATGACGAAAGTACATCTGATAGTTGCTGTTGAAGGACGTCTGCTCCAGAAATGGTTTCCTGCTGCAACCAATTTGGTCTACACATTTGCCTGGAATAAGACAGATATATATGGGCAAAAGGTTTCTGGTCTGGCAGAGGCTATGGGTATGTAGAACCACCTTGATGTAAGCAGAAGCACTAGCACACATGAAGCCAGGAAAATACACTTAAAATTTTGCTGCTGCACTTGCATAGATTTCAATCAAACGCTTCTTTAACTAATTAAAATGACTTGTATAATTTTCTAGAAAAATTTATTTTCTTGTTCCTCCAACATCTTCATTCTAACTTAATCAATTTGAAAATCCCCTTTCCCTCTGAGAATAGTTAAATACTAATGGCAGTATATTCCACTCTCTATTCTTGAATGTAACTTTGAATATGACCTTTGGTGCGTCATTGTCTCTGTCGTTTTTTGGCTGTGACATTTAAAATGTCATTTCTACTTAGGATTTTTTTTATTTACCTTTTGGGCATCCTCTCTTACTATGTTTTGTGTCCCCAACAGTTAAAACTTCTTAACTTGTTTACAGAGGTTTATGTGAAACTCATCATGTTACCTAGGCTTTCTTTACCAAGTGACACAAGCAGATATTCTGAGAATTGCTACTGAAACGCTATTTGTGAAGATACGTTTTATTTAGCCCGGCTATTTTTTTCATGAGTATTATTATTTGATTTTTTAAGGATTTGTTTCGCTTTTTAAGTCGGGGGAATTATAGCAAGAAGCATTTGCAGGATCAGACTATAAAACAAGGATAAGCAAGGGCTACGTGGAGCCGTTCATCCTCGCAAGGAGTGCTGTCTCGTTCCATATAGCACAACGCTATTCTGAGGGGCAGCCAGAAACTCTGTGCAGGACCTGTTGTGTTGTCCATACAGACCACGTGTCGGCAAATTGGCCCACAAACAGCAAAAAGGTGCCTTCCAGGCTTTGCACGATCCTGCAAGTCCCCGTACATCTAGTACTTCACTATGTTGTCATGTGCATCCAGACAAGTAGTTTGTGAGGCAGCTGTGGGGAGAGGAGACGGGCAAGAGAGGAAGTGTATCACCTCCTCAGTCGCTTCGATTTGTAGGTGTTGGTGTCAACAAAGGGTAATGTTATAGTCAAAAATACGGAGTGTGATTTACATCGTGCCATGCACACAGGAATATATCAAAAGAAAAAGGAGATTATTCTAAGGCTGTAGTTCCACAATCAATTTAAACAGATAAAACTGCAGGCTGCTGCGAGAAGGGACATTCCCACGTCCCTCCTTTTCCCCTGAGCCACCACTCACGTTCATTTGATCATGAAATGAGCCAGATCAGGAACAAATTCAACTGAAAACTGAAGCAACCAGAAAATAAGTGATAAATTTTTGGCTTCATTAGTTTCCTGATCTGCTATGAATGCTAGTGCACCCAGTTTATCGCATCAGCCCTTTCTGGCTCCTCCGTTTCATGAAACCTCATTGTGAAGGTGCAAAATCTGTCCCTAACCAACTGCAGGTATCGATTCCTACAAGTGTTTTGCAGTGCAGGAAGGTATTCAACCAGTCGTCGGTTCTACTTACACGTATTTGCGCAAGTGCAGACTTGGAAACACATTCGGATGTGCCCTTTGGTGCATCTACGTGTGCCATCTGTACGGGTTCATTCCTTGCATGTTAGCACTCGCGTTTCTGAGATAGAACAGGGAAGTATACCTGCTCCTTCTGGATCATTTAAGAGCTTTTTGATGACCATGAAGTCCAGTCCATATCTGGATTATAGCCAAATTAAATCAAGTACATACATAACTTGTTCTAAAATGGTACATCCGTTACAAAAACACAGATTAAAAGTAGATGAGAGTCGTATGTTTAAATATGAATAAAACTTATACAATAGTACTGGAGAACAACTTTTGATTATGCTTCTTGCAAAATAGAATCAAAAATCTTTATATTTAAGTGTATTGTTAGCATAGTTTACATTCCGATAGAGATTTATTTAATTTGATAGAGTGTAGTATTCAGGGACCTTTCTCTGCATCTACTATATTTTGTCAAAAATTTTTCCTCTGCCCATATATTACCAATATTGAATACTGCATTCTGTTCAGATTTCATTTTAATAGTGTTAAATAGCGGCAGGTTGAGGTCCTGGCAACTCAGGGGTATAACCATCTGGCTTTAGTTGTATGAATACTATGAACGTCTTTATTCTTCTTCAGGGTTATTGACAACAATGATCACATAACCAATTACAGAAGAGGAGACTTTCTGAGCATGATTTCACACATAAGAGGCTCTATTCAAATTCGTTGGAGAAATGTTTGCTCGTGTGTGTTTATTCCACAAGTCCCTAGCAGAGAGGCCATTTTCTCTTCTCAGAGTAACAGCAGAGATGATAAAGCAGCGTTTTTTTGTTCTGAATAAAAACATCATGAGGAGGTTGCCGCATAAAACCTTTGCGGTGAAGTTTATGCACTCTTGGGAGTTAACATAGCTCAAGGGCAGATTTTGGTGGAAATCTCAGTAACTGCCCCTGGGTACCTCCATTCGTGTCAGTTTTATTCCTGCGAGCTCTTGCTTCCCACGCAGCAGGACGCAGCGGCATGCAAGGGCTAATCTGTCTGCATTAGGTATGAGCCAACCCTCGAACACTATACTCTTAGGTCTTCCCAGTTTGTTAGTTTACTTGTTATTTCAGCTTACTTCATTACAGTCATTGTTCAAAGAAGTTGCTGATAAGTGCATATACTTCAGGAGAGGATGAGGTAGAGGTTATTGTCCTGTTTAATCCTGTCTTTTATTTCTTACGTGTATTTTGCAACAGTATCAGGAGAAAGAGCAGCAGCCCTTGATTTATGGTGTGCTAGCTCTATAAACAGTTTGATCTTAATTCTTCTAAATAATTGTATGAAAAGAGTAGATTTTTGGTACACAATAAATCATCTTTTGAAATTCATTTGGAGGCTGCAGCTGTACTTGCTGGTTATTACTTTCCAAAAACATAGTTACTGCTGCTCTGCTCTTTCATCCTTTCATGCAGTGAAATCTCAACCACTTCAGGAATGGGCTGCTGTCTGTGAGTGAGTTTGCCCAGAAAAGTAACACCCCACAGTGAGGTTAAGCTGATGGAGATCATGTCATTTCACTTATGAAATTGCAGCCTCTTGCAAAATCCAGCAGAAACAAAATACTTTTTTTCAAGTGGCAGTGCAGTCACTTGGTTGCCTTTGTCATTGTTAGGCGTCACCCTGATTACTGTGTGCGCAAAACAGTTGTGAGTGAGGACATTTTCATGGGTGGCATGTCAGTACCCCTGCTGAAGAGGGTCAGGAGATCCTGCTTTGAAACGGCACAGATACTCCTTTGGGCACAGAGCAATTCTTTGGTGTACAGAATAGACTTAATTCCTAAATATGTGCATGTCTACATAGAAATAAATCTGTAAACGCAGGCAAAGTGAGCGTATGTCCAAGTGTCACTTACTGACGAGAAGGGACAGAAAGGCAGCTGCGCGCAGTAACAGTGAGAGCAGGAACAGTGAACTTGTAGCAAAGGGGATGGCAGTCTCTGGAGAGCATTTGGCAGCTCAAACATCAGATAGGGGCAGGGAATAGCAGAAGCTTTAAGGTGTTAGCTACAGCCCTAGGAAACATGGCAGTCACCCAGCCTGGGTGACTTCCCCCAGCGCCGAGCGGGGCGGCGTGGGGACACGCCGACCAGGCGCTTGCATAGAAACGCTGCTGGGCTCGGTCACAAGAGTTCCTTTAGCTAAATTAGTTTGGACGGAGTAGCTGTTGGGCGCTCAGAAGAACGACTAAAACCTGTGACGTTTTAAGCATACCGCATGTACAGTACCTACGGAGATGTGTTTTTTTAGGAGCCAGAGTTCAGCTGCAAAACCAGGTTCTTTCTGCTAAAACGATAAAGAAGCTCTTCTGAGTGAAGCTGCTGTAGGAAAGAGCTTTCAGCATGCCATAAAATATTTATCTTACAAACACAAATGGTCCCTGCTATAGCTGGCCAAAATATTTTGATTGCATCCAGTAATGGAATTTTGATGGAATTAAAACTGTTTATGGTTCAGGTAAAACGTTAATAAAACTGCTAGCTGGACAAAGTGAGAGGAGACTGCTGAAAATGTCAGAAGACTCCATTTCTTACAATATTTTTATATTTCACCTTAATATATTTTTAAAGATACTTTTATTTTTTAAAGGCTGAAATAGTTCAGTATTTCCTAGATCAAATTTCTGGGGCTTGGTTTCAAAATAACATTCTTCATTTAGGAATGAATTCTACCAAAATGTTAAAAGGTTAACTAGAGGAGGAAAGTAACTAAGTACAAAAAAAAAACCATACTGATTGGAATGAATCATTTTGGAGTTACCAAAAATTAAATTTTGGAGGATTTTTTGTTTCATTGGAGTACTATAGTAGTACTATAGGGAGGTATTTTCAGTCAGCTTGAGACAGTTATCCCCCAAAGAACTGCACTGGTAGGAGAAATCAAGATTTACAGCAGGTACATTGGCCAGCTGTAGGGGAGAGGCATGTGACATGCAAGCTTGTTGACAGTTTTTTTATTTAATTCTAGAAATTTTCAATTGGAAATCCATTTCTTCCCAACTGCAGTTCCTACAATTACAACAAGACCTTGAGGCTAAAGATCACTAAGTTTCAAAAAATATCCAGTCTATGTGAATTTAGAAGCAATATTCTCAGGCTTAGCAGACAAACAAAAACAGTTCCAGTTCCAACAGAGAATTTTTCTATTTAAGCTATTATTCAGTAGAAATGCAATAAACAAGTCAGAAGTCATTGGTGCAGTTTTATATTCATAAGACAATCCATAATTGATACTACAGGAAATACTCCGCTTTGAAACTGTAGTAACTGTAGCTTTCACAAGATACTAATCTCTTTAACTCCTTATAATGCCCTTCCCTAGTAGCAATCAGGCAGAAGATAATTAATGGCATCATTACCTGGCAGGTGAATATTGAAACCTAGAATGAAAAATTACCCTGTAGTTCACAGAGAAAAACTAGACTGATATATCTTCAATTATTTGTTTGCAGTGTCTGTGGGATATGAATATGAAACGTGTCCTGATTTTATTCTATGGGAGAAAAGAACAGTGATCCTTCAAGGCTTTGAGATGGATGCTTCAAACCTGGGAGGCTGGTCTATAAACAAACACCATGTGCTGAATCCGCAAAGTGGTAAGTGCTTCCTTCACTAACTGGCCATGTGGAAGAGGAGTACAAATTTTAAAGGAATTAGTTGTTTGGATTCTCAGTATTACGCATTACAATGTTTAATCCTTTTTGTTTGAATGTGCTCCCTCGTTTATTGAGAGCTGACCGGTAAATGCCATCTGAAAGGATATCCGTGATGTTCTAGCTCCCAGGTATTCAGCATTGATATCGCTAGCTCTTGTGACCTCTAGCACATGTTGTCATCTGGATGGGCAAAGGGCACGCTAGTTTAGGATTAGAGGCTTTCGTCCCCACTCTGTTGGTATCGCAGTGTATAGCGTGTCATATTCTCAGTGAAGTGTCTACACCTCTAATACAACCTCTAGCTCACACCAGTTAGTAGTGTTGTCAGCAGTCACAGAAGGTCACAGAAAGGCACAAAATATGCATGAAAACAGAAGAGCGGCGCGCGAGGCAGCCCGGCCGTCCCCGCGAGCAGCCCGGCAGGCAGGGCCCGGGCAGCTGCCCCCGCTGCGGAGGAGCGTAGTACGTCGCTCTTCAAGAGCAGCGAACCAGCACCATTGAAAGGATTAAAAAAATGTGTAAATCTTTTTGATGTCGTAACATTAGCCCTGCGTACACGTTCTTCAGGCTTGGAGACTGTAATCTGTTTTCTCATTGCTTTTATTTTGTTTTTGGGTTTTTCATCCCTTAATGCCTGAAATCAGGAATTATCTTAGTGGGATTAAATTATTAAAACAATACTTGTAGATAAGTTACGGTAACTAGAAAAATATAATTTTACAGATTAACAGATACCCCGCTTCCCTGGAGAAGAGAAACTGTAGATTGCAGCACACACAAATCAGGATAGTACTGAGTTCAGTGAAGTTCTCTCGATTTGCTGCTGCTGAGAGTCTGTCCACTAAAATCTCTTTCCATCTGCGAACTTCTGTGATGGAGGTTCATGCACAGATGTATAGCTGTCAGGTTTTTGCAAGTTCTGTTGTTGAATGCACAACTACAGTATAAATATTCCGAATACAAAAGGTCATATTTAGTTTGTAAATTATCTGAATTTCTGTTTTGATTTAAAATAGTTTGACATTTTAAACAGCGGTTCTTTCATACCCTGTCTTACTGGTTTGTATAGATTGTCTCTTTTAAATGCCAGCTATTGACATTTAACACAAAGAGAAGTCTGACCTCAGCCAGCTCAGCCCCCAACTGTGAGCCCCCATAGTCTCCTCCTTAGTGCCAATTTGCCACTTGCGTAGTTTAATTTCCAGACTAAATAGCTGGCAGTAACTCCAATTTATATGACTATCCACTAACCGCAGTGGTTACTACTATAATTCACCCCATAGGCAGTGATGTGTTTTGAGATTTTATAAAATATGCAATTATAATCTGAGCAGGGCTAAATCACTGCTTTTCTGAATGCGGGCTGTGTGATGACAAACTGCTTCGTGGCTATTTTCAGCTGTGTGGCCCACACTTGGAGGAAATGCCGGCGAGCGGGGCACGTCTGCTCCCCGAAACTGTCAGGGCTGCGCCTGCTGCCCCTGCCCTGCTCTTGGATGTGCCTCTCATTATTACAGGTTTTGACCGTGCACATCTGGCTTCTGTATAGGAACAGAAAAATAATGACCACGTCAAGTACGCACCTAACGAAGCAGCCTGTAGTCTGGTATTAAGCAATGAACCAAATAATCAGCTCTGTTAGTCAAAAGGATGATAGTGACTAGAACCTTTCTGGTCTCATCAAGAAACTAGGGAACTGCTCTTCAATTTCAGATATGCAAAAACGTACTTTTAAATAAGGACAAAATGGTGTTTCAGGCTTAGAATTGTGCATTTCAGACTTATCTCCATGCTGCTGTGAGTGGAGTGAAAAGCATGAGTGGCCTTCTCAAGTATGAATATATTGAAATTTTCATTTTTAATTAAAGCATTCCCTCTGTACATATGAAGAGCTGCGTAATTTAGAAGCATGAAATCTATATCCATTTTGAAATACTGTCATTGAAGTAACTACAGAAATAGCATTAGAATATTATACAAATGTATTTCTAAAAACTCTCTACTGCAAATTACAGTTTTCAGACTAAAACTAAAACTACTTTGTTTGGTGAGTTCACTGTTCATGAAGAGCTTATATTTAACTTCTGTCTCTAAACCTCCTTTTCCAGCAGATCTGCTGCTGTGTGTGCTCTCCTGTTCTCAGGCAAGGTGTATATGCTTCCCTCCCTCCCCATAAAGGCTTTTCATTTTAGAGATATTAGGAAGTATATTCAATCACACAATAGAAAAGTTGTGAAAATAAATAGATGCAGTTATACAGAACTGCATTTCATAGCACAGTCTGAGCTCTGGAGGTACATATATTGATATGTAGAAACTGTACAAAGTAAAACCCGTATTCTGTTTTTGGATTAAGTATCTAAAAAACCGAAACAAACAAAAAACCAACGAAGTAAAAAGCCTTTATGATGCCAGTAGCCTGGATGAGAAAGAATTGTATATTTTTCCCACGCGGTTATCATTGGAAGCCCAAGCTTTTTAAGTGAATACATTTTTGCATCAATAAGAATGTAATATTAACAAAGAAAATGGATCCCATTCCGTTCTCAGCTATACTAAACTGTTCTTTATCCACTTTTTTCCTCCGCTCCAGAGACTTGGTCACGTTCAGCTCATGACATGATTCTAATTTATTGTTTCCCAGCCCAAAGGTTTCGGTCAGTTTAGAAGATCTTCAGGGCGTTTCACATAATCAAGTAGAGAACACGCACCAGCAAGACTTGTTCCTGTGTAGAGTCTTTCTAAAGGCCCAGAAGGCTCATGAATACAAACAAATATGCTATTAATTATTTTCAGAGTATTCTTTGAATTAGATTTTTCTTCTGATTGTCAAATGCAGTGATTTCATTTTTATTTGGGGGAAGGAGGAGTAATTTCACGGGGACTTTATGCTTTATAGTAAGTCTAGCCCCAATCCAACACAGCGCTGACTAAAATTAAAGCAGCAGCTTGCGAGCCTGGAGTTAAGCGCAGGCTTATCTTTATTGAGAGCAAAACATCTTCTCCAGAGCCCTCATTATTTACTGGCATTTCTGTGAGGCAGTTGAAAGATTACCTTAACATTGTTAATTTCAGCCAAAAGGCAGCGTCTTCATTTAGTAGTATTTTTATCTGGTAGGTAAGGGAGGAAGTTGCCGTTAATCACGCTGGCATATTTCCAAGATGCTTTCTTTATGCCAGCGTTCAACTCCAAAGAAATGTATGTATTCTGTCCTTTGCTCTTCAGGAATAAATGAAAAAAAAATACAGATTTGCCTTTGAAATAATAATGGCAACACCCACCGACTTCCAAGGAGAGTGTTAGTTTCAGGCTTACCTAAAGGCCACAAAACCAAAGTTGGTGGAGACAGTACCTATATACATCTGTTGTACTCTAAGAAAGGCATGAAGCGTCTCCGTGTGTCCTTTCTGCAGCATCTAGCCTATGCTCGTTTCCCAGTTGGTAGGAAAGTTTCCTCAAACCTTTACCTTGAATGCATGCATACAGCTCTCTGGGGCCCATACTGGTCTTGCGCTTGGGCTGAGGATGATTTTACTAAAGGCGCTAGTGTTACTTTGTTACCAAAATAAGCTTTCTCAGCTGGGAATCCCCCTGCCCACAGGGGCCTGCTGAGCGCGTTTCACATAGAAAGCGCGCTCGGACTTGCCTGCGGGGTAAAGTGATGGAGCTGTAACAAAAGCAGTGAAATTCCTAAAACTAATACCTGCAGAAAATGTGCTGCTAATGCCAGGAACAAAATGACGAGCTGTGGCATCAGGCAGTGGAAGTATGATGAAGCAGGTGAAATGTGCCCTAACCGCGGCGACAAAAGAAGCTTTCAGCCTGAGCATTTTTTGCAAAAGCTGAGCATTGTATAAAGGGGTTTTCTTCTCCCGTTTTCATTGTTTAAGCTGTACCTAGGCAAGCTAATTTCAGTCCATGGAAGAAGGTACAGTGTGTCATATAAAGACAAGCCATCCACTGGGCCAGTGCAATCAGAAAGCACATTCACAGTGCAATCAGAAAGCACATTCCCTTGTGTTTATTGCTTTAATCATGCCATTTTTTTGATGAAGTGCTGGGCTTTCTAATGGAAATAAGAGATTTTGGAAGTGTGGTCTGAAAGAATACCTATCTTCCATTCAAAAATAGCTAAAGTATTGTAATAACATGTCATTTTGAAGGTAATTGTTACCTGTATTGCCGCATTGTTATTTAAAAAAACCTTGAAAAAAATGTTTGGATTGGCCCTGGTATTACCAGCCTAGTAATTGGAAAGGTTTTCAATAATGTATCCTGCAGAACAGTGCTGAAATATTCACACACGGAAACGTTGTTTTACGCTGTATGGCAGGACTTAGTGTATCCTTATTCGTAAGAAATCACTCATGCCTCAGAATTACTCCTCTACTTTTAACTTGGCTGTGCTGCGGTCGGCACCCTTTTTATATACCGTGAAGGACTTGCATTTAAATCTGAATATTGATTTTGTACTGCCACTCAGTGCTCTTTTCAGAAAAATGCGTAGTAGTCTTGCTATTAATCTCCTTTAATTAAATATTCAAACTGCCTAAGAAATTCCTCTGCTACCTAATAAAAATTTATGAATAAAATGAATATTAAAGTAGCAATCCCCAAGAAATCAGATAGTGCTGCAATTAACAGTCAATTTGTTAGAGCATTAACCAACCTTGAGTTCTGCTCATGGTATTGGCCTTTAAAATAGCCGCTAACCGCTAATTGACAAAATGGTGATGGTGAAACTTGGGACCGCATGAAATGGGGAGAGATTAGTGGAACTCAGTGGCGCAGTCTTTAAAAGAAAGATCTGACTGTTCATTGCTGTTTTGGTAATACGCTTTCCTGTAGGAACACAACATCCAAAGCTAAACTGCAGAATAGCTTAACTGCTACATTCACGCTTTTACTGCCTCCTCTGTTATTTTTGTTTGTTTGCTTGCTTGCTTTCTCATAGGGATCGTGCACAAAGGCAATGGGGAGAACATGTTCATTTCCCAGCAGCCGCCAGTCATCTCGACCGTGATGGGTAACGGGCACCAGCGAAGTGTCTCCTGCTCCAACTGCAACGGGCTCGCGCTCAACAGCAAACTCTTTGCCCCTGTCGCTCTTGCTTCAGGTCCCGATGGCAGTGTGTATATCGGGGACTTCAATTTTGTCAGACGAGTCTTCCCTTCAGGGAATTCTATTGGCGTTTTAGAGCTAAGGTAATAAAAATAAAATAAAATAAAAGCTTGCCCTGACTGGCGGGCATTATCCTGGCTGCCAAAGCTACAGTGAGCCTTATTTTTCTTTAATGTGACTTAGAGAAGCAGCCACATTTAGTTGCCTGGTGAGGATGCGTCTCACTGACTGTCAAACAAACTTTTTTTAAGTTTTTAAGTCTGAAAACTTAAGCTTACTTTAAAGTCATCAGTTAAGAAGGGCGTTACCACCCACCTTAAATGGCCTGTAGAACAGGTTTTGCATGATGAATTTCTGCAAAGTGCAAAATTAATAGAGCTGATCTGTCCTCCTGTGGCTTTTTCTATACATTTATTTTTTCAGAAATGAGTTAAAACCTTCCATGAAGTACATTTTTTAAGAAAAAAAGCATAAGTCAAGAGTGAGTATATACACATCATGCCAGATCACAGTACTGTGGCTGAAGGTGGACTTACCCTGTTTAAACTTCATATAATTGAATTGTTCCTCGTGTGTAACAGAAGAGTGTGGTTGGGGTTAAGCAGACAGGAAGAACCCAGACGCTGCAGAAAGCCCTGTAATTATGGCTCTGGCTTGGGATGCCCTCTCGGGGTTGCAGGGGAAGGCATGAGCGATTCTGGACACTGATAACACCAAACTTGTGTTACTTCAAAACCTGTGAATCTCTAACTAATTAACGTTGCTGGCAATGAAATCGCACGCTGTCTGTTCAGGATGAACTTGAAAGTGCACAGGTGCTGGAAAGGAAACTGAATTTAGAGGGGAAGAAGTGATACTGGGTGATACGGAAAGGTGGAATAAGCGATGTTTTGCTATTGCTCTATAGCTCTGTAAGCAGTTGACAAAGAGCGCAGTTGTGTTCACTGATACTGACTACTGTTTTTTCTTTCTTTTTTTTTTTTTTTTAAACCCTGAACTGATCTGACTTACTAGGAATAGAGACACAAGACACAGGTAAGTAAAAGACAGTAGGAGTAACCGCGTGGATTTAAGGAAATAGTCTTACAAAAGCCCTTTTAGAAGTCTGGATATAGAGGAAACACTGTGAATTTAGTGAATGTTAATCAAATTCACCTTTATTTATCATAAAGAAGGTTTGATGTGTTCCCTTTGAAGGAATGAAGTCTTTCTCTAAAAATCAGTTTGCTGATCACCAGACTGAGCTCGAGAGGTTTAAACCTGAAGGCCGGGA